TGTGCTTGATTTCAATCTTAAACCCTCCAAACTGCACAGTAAATTGAAGGTTGTAAGGGACAGACACCTGTTCAAACAGCATTGAAATTAGAGGGAGGAGATCAATAGCAGAGACCAGTCCAGGTAAAATACATTTTGGAAGACAAAATCCTCGTGTGGTCTCAGAGTCACTTCCAGGTTCCTGTGAGGGGACTGGGGCAGGAGCTGGTTTTGAGATGGGCAGCTGCCTTCAGGTTCACAGCTGCAGGAAATACTGCCCACAGAGGCAAGGCAGTGAAATGGCACAAACCCAACAGCAGCTTCTAAAGCTGATGTCAGCTCTGGGCTTAGGAATTTTCTATGGAGACTCAGAGCAAGGCAGGTAGAGATGCCCTTGCTGTCTAGAAAACCTCTACTGGCTGCTGTGACGTGGGTGCCTGGAAGCTGAAGAAGCTCCTAGCACAGCAGCCTCACGTGTGCCACAGATCCCTGAATGGCTGCTGCCAACTCCATCCCCCCTTACCTGCACTGCTGGGTGTTGGGGGCTTGGAGGTGAAGTGCTGGAACAGAAGGCAGGGGTGAGAATATTTTTTGGATCATGGCAGGAGGAGGATAGGAAGATGACTTTATAATTGCTTTTTTATCACTCTTTCTGACTATATTGACTTTATGCTTGACACAGCTTCGGCTGGCAAGTAAGGCCCAGATACATTCAGAATTAGATATGACTTAGGCTCATTCTTACATGAGAAGAAAATCATCGGTTGCTACAGAAACAGCTCCATATCAGTCTCGTGGGGCATCTTTGCATCTGGCTTTTTTTCCCTTCTCTTTTGCTAATCTGGAGATAAGAGTCAAAGCAAGTGCAGCACATCCCACATCTCTATAAAAGGTTGGAGGAACTCTGCAGAGAGCAAAGTGTGAAAGAACATCTCATAGATAAGCTAAACTTAAATGAATGAGTTAATTTACACTCCCCCTGCATTTTTTTTCAAGTTTTGCAACTCTCGCTAAGTTAATTGAGGTGAGAATTAAATGACACCAGTCAGCAAATATTTTAAAGACCACCAAAATCGAGGAAGAGAAAAGAGGCACTCAGAAAAGGAGTTACTAAGAAACAGGAAAAAAATCCAAGGGGTGAGTTAGAATCTGTGTCGAAAAAATTGCATCTTGCAATGGAATAATAATCCAGACTGACTTTCAGGCAAGTTGTTTAACTTGATAAATTAAGGAATTAGTTAAAAATAAGTGTACATTATGGGTGAGCAGGGACCATTCTGCACACTTCAGACCAGCTCACCAGCGACGTTCTTCAACTGGTTTTCTAAAATGTAATGAATTCTTGATGCTTAGTAGATTAATATTTATTGAGTGAATCAATGCTTAATTTATTAAAAAATTGCCTTCCTTGTATTTTAATATGATTTATTACTCATCAGTGCTTATTGCATTAATTAAAGATTGTGTTAATTTTGTGGAAGTGAACACGATCTGCTGCAGGTTTGCTGTGCTGGGGGGACTGTGCCTCTGGGTAGTGCCAGCCATGGAAACTGCTGGAGGTGGGAAGCTGGTATGAATCACCTCTTCCTGCCCTTGGGAATTCAGATAGCCAGCCAAGTGGAAAAGAGGATGCTGCCCCTCAAGGGTAGGACAGGATTATGGCAATAGCAATACTGTGATGATACAGGGAATGTTTCCGTTTGCCTCCTTCAAATTGCGGCTGACGCTGTGGAATTCATTTTTCTGTTTCTTATGGAATGTCTTCTTGTCAACGTAGGTGTAATCCAGCCTTAGAGACATGGGAAACTGTCACCACTTTCCCAACCAGGAACGACAGTCATTGCATTTCAGTGCTCAGACTGTAAGAAATTCTTGGGACAGTAGGTTGCCTGGAGATTGGGATGGTCCCGAGCATCTCAGCAGGGGCAGGTGTTTGAGAAATGGAAAATTCCTAAAGGCAGAACAAAAAAAAGCCAGACATCTTGTGAGTTGAGTCTTTCAAGAAATCTGTCAAAACAGGGAGAGGGTGATCATGCTGGAGGGGGGCCACAGCTGCAATTTGCATCTTTCAGCGCTGAACAAAGAAGTGAATACATAAAGCCCCACAGCCATGATACTTCTGGTGAAATTATTTTATTAATGGGTGTGACATTTGTAATGTCTCTCTCTTTAAATTCAAATACTGCTGTTTTTATAGCTACTCATAAGTGAGTCTGTCTGGTTTTTTTAAAAAAACCCATCTAGTTACTAGGCTGCTTGCATCCAGCTGAGCCCTGGAAACAGCAGAGAGCTGGTCCCTGAGATCTGAGAGCAGGCTGGAATTTCCAGAAAGTGATTGGACCCATAATTAGGGTATTTTTGCATGTTTAAATGCACAGTTCTGGGATGCACTTTGCTGTTTGCTCCTCTCCGGGGCTGGGCTGAGCCTGCACAAACTTCCCTTGATGAGCTAAATCAGAGAAACTTCTTCAAGGTCCAATGAAGGTCAGAGCAGAGGATTTTTTCCTCTCCTGGTCACTGGGCAGGCAGGAACCGCTGCGCTCCAGCCCGGAGCGTTTGGGTGGAGCCAGTGCCAAGGACCTGGTGGCATTTCAAATCCCTTGCAGCACTTAGGTGTTAGATGCTAAAGATCAGCTCTGCTCCACTTGAAGTCAGAGAAATAACTTGAGCTTAAAGTTCAACATATACACAGAGATTTCCTGGATCTGGAGTTAATTTGTTTTGTTTTTCTTTTTTTTTTTTTTTTTTTCCAAGGTCAGCCTGAAGACAGCATCCAAAGTTAAAGAAAAAAAGTTAAAAACTGAACGTTTGACTTGTAATAATTTAATTTTATTTCCCATTTTGTTTTCCTGACGTATCAAGTTAAGCTATTTAGGCCTTTATTTAATGTTTATTTTTACCCCAGTTAATAGACTCAAGTCAGGACTGGGGGCCAGTCAGGCTGCATGCCTTTCTCTCTATTCCAAATCTTTGTGTTTTGCAACTTTCTTTGATGCAGGATATTTATATTCCACCTTTTTTTTTCCCAGTAGAGGAGCTTTCACGGAGTATAGGCTTTGGATATATATTTTCTGCTCTAGCTGTTCATTAGATATACAGCATTTGGAGTTCCAGTTGTGCTGAGAAATGTAAGCAAAGCTTTTGGCCCAGTGGGGGCTAAGCTCTGGCATTTCATAGCTTTGTACATATGAATCAGGATTAAGGTGCAGGATCTATATAAAATTTAGCTCATTAGGAGATGTTTCGTCCTACGGCTCCCGCTGGGAAGGTGGGTCCTTTGCTTACACACAGCATTCCTCACTTTGCTTTACTGCTCCCTGGGAAAGGAGGGGGGTGAGCAGCCCCCTGCAGAGCAGGTACAGCAGTTCTTGTGCAGGGGACACAGAGCAGCAGCAGGATATTCCTCTCCCTTGTATCAATATGCTGGCACACCTGAAAAAAAACTCAGCATACCCTGGCCTCAGTGTTTTATACTAAAGCAAACACAGTCCAGCACAGGGCTAAGGTCATTCTTGGGATGACTTCCCAGAGTTGAGAGAACGAAGAGTACCTCTGAAAACAGGCAGGTGGGACTTTTCTCACCAATGTGATTTGTGTTGTACCACATTTAAGGTGCTGAAGGCCAGAAAGGTTCCAGAAAATGTGGGGCTTTTCAGCCTGACACTTCAGTTGGCTTCCCAGCAGGCCTCATAGCTCAAGTGTATTCAGTGGATAACCATGTCCACGCACTTCAGCCAGTGAAGCTTTACTGCAGAGAAATGATGGGTTTGGAAAGGAGTTTCATCAGTCATAATTTCCAAGGAAGAGCGTTCACAGTAGGGAATACCAAGTCAATGTTGCCTCCTCAAGGACTTTCAGCTGTCACGCCGGGAATACAGTGAGTGCAGTGATGAGAATTAGATTAGAAGAAGATCAATAGGGCTGACAATAAATGAAAGTAACACAGACATTATTGAGCAAATTAGGAGAGAGAAATTAAAGTGGACAGTATAATCTTCAATACCAGCTAGACACACTACTGTTGGGCAAAGTTAGGGAGAAGACAGTAAGTTAGAAAGTGCTGTGATGAAGAGGCATTAACAGTCTGTGAAATGGGGAAAGCCCTACTTGTGATGGAAAGATCTCAGCCCACAGAAAGGTGGAAAAGGATGATAATGGTCCAGGAGCACATGGATTTAAGTGGTGGGCTACAGGTGAGGAGATCACCTAAGACTGGGAACATAGAGCAGGCAGCAGCACTGGCTGCATGTTACAGGGAAAGGGAACCTCAGATGCACCCCACCATCACAAAGGCTTTGGTGGGAAAGCTTGTTGCAGGCAGAAAATTTTCCTAACCTTCTCATAGCACAGGTTGGTTTGCCCTGTGAAGTCTTGCAGCCCTTCCAGAAACACTCCTCTGTGTAAACTTGATTATTTACCATAACAACTCCCTGTATTTTGCTGTCTGTACAGATATCCACTGATGATCAAGTCTGGCAAGCTTTTGGGGTGAGGGATATCCAGTGGCAACGAGATCCATGGGCTGATTGTGCTCAGCATGAAAAGAAGCTTTCCTTTTATCAGTCTTGAGTTTGTCTAGATACTCTTACATGTCTTTGAAAGGTTCACCCCAAGGCAATATAATTGTGTTTGATCACATACAGGCATTGAATCAGTGATTGATATGAATAAAGAACTTGGAGTTGCTCGTCCTGGTTCCATGTCTTCTTCCCCATGGAATCAGAAATCACTTTTATAAATATATCAGTCCATCTGTGCTTCTAGCTATCCATTTCAAGTGTATGTTCCAAAAAAGAAATAGTAACACTTTATAAGTGCAAATAAAAACACATTAAAAGGACTGAGCAAGGGGTTTCTCTTCCTCGTAAAGTGCATGTAGATCCATTCCAAAAGAGTTACTGTGAGCCATGTAACTTGTAATTAATTCTGCTATAAATGTCAGAACACTTACTTTGCAGGTCTAAGCTGACCCACTAAAATTAGTCCCCTTTTAACAATTCCTTTTGTAATTTGTTTTTCAGCAGAAACGACGGCTTGACCTCCTGACAATAACCAGCCCCGGTAAGTGAGCTCTGCCGCCCGGCTCTCTTCTCTTTTCTTAAAGAGATGGTTGTCTAAATGTGTTTTTCCCCCGTCTCTGACATGCAAAATGAAAAACCCTGTTCCCCAGAAAATCTTTCACCTAATAACAAGTGACAGCTATATTGTGCTTGGCAAAGCCCCGGGCAGTTATCCGTTCACAGAGCTGCCTCTTCAGACCTTTACTCTATGAATTGGAGTGCTGATATTTCTTTAAGCCTCCTGGGGTTACAGTTAGTGGTATATCTGCAGGGCAGATGCCCTCAAATTCACAGTGTGTGTTCAAATATCACGGAAATGCAAGCCTGAGTTTCCTTGGTGGCAAACGTGAGCAGTTTGGGGAGTGAGGAGATGGTGGCCCTCTATGGGCATGGTGGGAGGTGGGAGGTCCAGGCTTGGGTCTGAGAACCCCAAAGTGGATCTGAAAATATTTAGGTAAAAGGAAAATGCTTTAAACTACCTACTTTGTGGTGGCTTGTGTAGTTTGCCTCTTGAGGAGATAAACCAAAATGTGTTATATTGGGAAGGCGTCGGGCTCCTTGGCATCGTGAGTTTCCAAGTCTCAGCACGGTGGTTGGGATGCAGGTTGGTTCAGTAGTGCCCCTCTGTGATCTCAACTCTTCAGGCTGGGTGGTTTCTCATTTGTTGCCATTTGTCTGGCTCACTTTCTTTCCATTAGCTGCTGCAGAAAGTTTGCTGCCCACCAGCTTCCGATGTATGCCCTGCTCAAATAGTGCCACATTCCGGTTAACTTTTCCAATTTTTCAGATGTGTGTGTGTGTATTAAGCTCTCAGGTTGGCTTTAACTGGGACTAATGAGTTCTGGCTTTAACTGGGAATAATGTGTTAGTGAAGTGAACAGGTGTTATGGGGAGTGAACAAAATGTGACACACATTTGCTTGGATAACAATTTTGCATCGATAATTGTTCTGACACTCTGAATGTAGATATAATCTGTGACATGGTTTCTCCTTCACTAACCTTGTTAAAATAATAAGAATTAAAATAAGGAGGAGGAACACTTTGTTGGGACAGATGTTTGAGGCTATTGGCAATTGCATCACATTTCTGCATGTTCACTTTTCATGCAGTTTGCAATTATGTTAATGTATGCTCAGGGCACTTGCTGATAAAAGCAACAATACAGTGTGATACAGCCATTGTCACTATTCTGACTGTAACTTCAAGGACAAACATGGCACATTTTTCATTTTCCGTATCTTCAGCATTCCCTTTTTCTAGAGGAAAAAGAAAAAAAAAAAAAAGATCTCTAAAGGTCTTAATCATAACACACACTCAGATCTTGGATAAGGGCACCAAAGTCCACAGTCACTTTTTTCAGTAAGAGAAAAAGAGGGTTGAGGACCAGAATAACTTAATATGAGAGTTTTCTGTAAAACAAAGTTATGATACCTCATCATTTCCAGATGATTCACTGGAACAGTGAAAGGGTTGACTAAGCTGAGTTTGTGCATAGATGTGGTCACAGTAAGTAGCTATAGCTTCATATCTCTCACTTTAATACAGCAATCTACTCAATCAACACAGCAGTTAGCTGGAAGGATCTTCAATAACTGTAGGCAGATGTACTGCACTAAAAGGTGGGAAAAGCTTCCCATAACATGGGTTTTTTCTAGAATGCAAGTTTTACCATTTGATATTTAACCAGAAATCTACAATATGGGATACATAGGGAAAAAAAAATAATATTTGTTCCATAATTTCATAATGAGTGCATGTAGTTTTGCTTTCAATAAAGGCATTTTCAAGAGAAGCTTGGTGCTGGATCAGGCCAAACTCACCAAAGAGCCTAAAGCTGATATTTTTCAAAGAGGCTGAAAAAGTTAGGCACTTAATTCCTAGTAGGATTGGAAAATGTCAGCCTGTGGATTAAAGGGTCTAGTTTCAGCCCTACAAATACAAAAATAAAATAAAATAAATCATAGCCTTAGGGCTTTTATCTGTCTTTGGAGACTGCTACTTTAAAATATTTCATTCTTTGAGTCCTAGCTCTAAGATCTGACGCTGACAGTCTGCTTTTACAAAGTCTTGATATCGGTTATGATGGCTGAGATCAGCCATAATCACTGTCATCCCTAAATTTACTGATTCAAATGAGGCACTGGGCTATTTGGTTGCACCTGTTAATCCTCTGGGGCTTGTTTCTGTTCTCCACCTTGCCGCAGGCAGGCAGCCTTTGCTCCTGGTGGAGCTCACTCAGCCTTACTTAGAGTGGCAAAGCCCTCTGTGGCTCACAAGCAGCACTGGCTACCAAAACCCTATTGCTTGATTGTAAGGAAAGACAAAGAAGGACTTCAAAAGCAAAGGTGACCTCTGTGATTTGCACCTCTGTCATGATGAATATCGTCTTTCTTTTGTGTGTGTGTGTGAAGCTCTCAAGCCAGATTTTGTATATTTAGTCAAGAATTGATGGTGATTCCTTGCAAGTATTACAAAAGCTCTTCTCCATGTGCCACTAAAACTATTTCCAAAAATTGATCAGCCAGTTAATGAGACTAATTGCATGATAAAACAATGCCTTTATTGTCAATTAAGGAGTGTTGAGACACAGGTGCCAAAACCTGAGTTTGTGAAATTACAGAAACCTTACATCACCTCATGGCAGTCACACTGTTCCCCATGGACGTGGCTGTTGCACCATTCCCCAGGAATCAGTAATGGGTCAGAAGCAGTGGCCATTCCTTGTTCCCTGAATTTCCCCCCTGCCCATGTTGTGCTGAGCCCACACTGTGAGGCTGACCCACCAGTGCCTTGCTCCAAACGATTTCCAAACCCTGATCAGTGCGTGTGTGGCCTTGTGAAACCTTGCTGAACAGGTGCTGGACTTAAAAGCACACTTATATGTTAAGCTGAACAGGTATAGATCATTAATCTGTAATCTGGACTGAGAGAAGTCTGGAAAAAAGGGGGAGGAGGGGGAGGGAGAAAGGAAAAGGAAGAAGTACTGATGCAGCTCCAACTACACAGTTTGTATGCAACATGCAGGGCTGACCTCTTCCAACACCCCTAAGACAACAGCTGCAGGAAGCTCCACACCGTGCCCCCAAACTGGAGGAAGTCTTTGCTTTGCTTTGGATCTCCAGAAACAGCCAGACACAAATGATGCATAAGCTGGGAGCGAGCCAGACTCCCTCGTGCTCAAATATATTCCTTTGAAGTTACTGACACCCCTGTAAAACGTGGAGGGGAGTTCACTGCTCTGCCTTTCTGCTGAGTAGCTGGAGGAATGTTAAGTTAAATTTATCAATGCTCTCGCCACACTCCTTTCTTCTTGCCCCTTGACACGTGAGGTGCAATTAGGCTGCAGCGCCGGCACAGTTGAGGGTGTCAGCGGTGCCGGAGTCAGCGCTGACGTGCGCAGTGGGGTGGGGGAAAGACGTTAAAAATTCATCAGGAGCTGGCAGGGAGCGGGGCATAATGAGATTTAAGTTTTGGTGATTTAGATTTTTCTTCAGACTCGGTTTTACCTCTGAATTTGATCAGAAACTTTTCCTTAACGCTGTTCTGATTGTCTCGGGGGTTTAGGAGCGAAGCTTCAGGTGGTTTAATTTGGCCTTGTTGCACAAAGAAGATGAGGTTCTGCCCTTAGGTTGTGGGTGATCATGTTCTAGTAGCACTTTGAACATGCACATGCAATCACATCACATTTTTTGGTAACTGCTCAATAGCTGCAAATAAGATATCCCTGTTTCCATAGCTTTTCCATGGAGACAAAGCTTTTTGCATCTCCCGTGTTTATGATAATAATACAGCTTTCCAATTTCTCCTCTCAGTAAGGTAAGTTCCTCTCCCACTGAAGTATTTTTTAATTATTGATACCATAAATGGAAGTGTGTTGGAAACTATTGGCTTTGAAAATAGCTAACATGTGATATTATCCAAGAACCATCAGGAAAATTCTTTTGAAATTCTCTTTGATTCAGCCATCCTCAGGGCTTTATCTTTCTCTACCAGTTTCTCTACTGCCAATTTAAAATAACATTCTCTTGAAATCAGTGCAATGTCAGGAGAAATTCATCAGCACTGTAGGTGCATGTTTCCCAGATGTATATAAACCTACTACATTTGGCAGCAGTAAATTGATTGCATTTAAAAAACCTGGGGTAGTTGAATATTCTGTAGTGCCCAGCTTGGCTACAGCGTGGAATACAAAGCAATTTTTTAAAGTTTCTTTCAGCTCTGTTTTAGGTGAAATAAAGTAAGCCCTGACTCCATAATTCCTGCCTTTTGATTTACTCAGATTTTCCTGATGTGCAAACCACATCAGAGGTTTACATGCAGGGACAGATTCCTAATCTCTGCTGAGGTTTGATAAGAAATGTTAATTACTCGTGTGTGCTTCCCCCTAATATTCAAGCTCTTACACTTTTAAACAGGGTAAAAAAGCTTGATTTTAAAAGTATTTATCAGTGTGATCTATGTGGTGAAATATTCTCCCCCCTTTAATATCATCAGTGCTGCATGCTCTAAAAATGTCTCCGTTTCATTAATTTGTGATATACTGCTACCCTGAATTCTTTTAAGGTGACTTTAGCTTCTGCCATACATATTTTACTGCTTTAAATTATAGATATAGGACTGTTGCCTAGTTAATTTCCTCTGGTTAGGAAAATATATTTCTGCTCTCCTGGCATTGCATAAAGTGATATGTGGGATTTGCTATATTTTTTAGCTGATTAAGTTTTGCATTTCTACATATTACTGCTTATGAGACCTCAAGTAAAACTACGTAAAGGAAGGAGAAGTTTTATAGTATATTTCAAAGTTTCGTTTAACTATAAATTCCACCACTAAGCCCCGCTACAAGACTTTTCCATTACCTTCCTGGATAGTCTGGCTATCAACTTCTCTCTAATTGAAGCATGAAAATAATATGAACTCGAAGTCATGAAGCTGTAAGACAGGTATTAGTAGAAATGAGACTGACTAATAAAATGTGACAGAAAGTTGTTGGCGGCCA